GCCAAAGGTGGGGAGCCCAGAGGGAGATGGGACCAATAGCGCCTAGGGGGTGGGGCCGCCAACTGGGCGCCAAGGGGCGGGGCCCACGGAGTCCCGGGGTAGCAAGCTGTGCTGACATCTCTGGCCAGCTGGTTGTGTAGACAGCCATCCACACTAGATTTTACTGAATCACTCCTTGCCCTCTTGCATAAACCTGCTTGGTCCCATGCCCTGATGTGCGCATATTTAGACATGCTGTATGTGTATCTAAACCTTAACAAGAGTGATGGGCATTTTTGTACATTCTAACACTCGAATATGTGTTTGTTTATAGACACCGGTCTCATTTTTTTTTTTCATAACTCCATCACGGATTTGTAGCACTTGATGCATCTGTCCACAACTCTATCCTGACAGGTGGTATCTGGTGGGGGGAGGGGTAGCACACTGATGAAGGCCCACACCCTCACACACAGGTATTTGACAATGACATCTCCTACATTGAGGGTGGAACAGCCAGTGGCTTCTACACTGTGGAGGACACACACTATGTCACCAGGTGAGGGGGTTTGTGGGTGGTGGTCCTGACCTGGACTCAACTGGGAAGGATTGGAGGAACCAGCCCTTGGTGACCCTGCCTGATGTCCCTGCCCCATTCACTCTTGCTCTCGCCCTCAGGATGTACCGCGTGTATGGAAAAAAGAACATCAAGTTGGAGCCTGTGCCTCTCAAGGGGGCCTCCCTGGACCCAAGGTAGCCCCCATGACTAGAGCAGGGGAGGGCTTGAGCCCACACTTCCTCTCTACTAGTGGGGGACAGGTTTGGGTTCAAGAAGAGGCCTTCCAGCAACCCTTTTAACCCCCTCTCGAGCATGGAAGGACCACCAAGGGGGCTGAAACCCATAATGAGGGATTTAGGGCAGGGTCATAGGCACAAGGGCAGTCGCTGCCCGTGTCAATTGCTGCCCCTCCTGCCCCTCCTGTCCAGGTTTGTCTTCCTGCTGGATCGAGGGCTGGACATTTATGTGTGGCGGGGGGCCCAGGCCACGCTGAGTAGTACTACCAAGGCCAGGTATGAGGACACGGTGGGGTATTTTATGCACACACTGTTACCTAAGAAGAGACATGGGAACTCATTAAGGACTTTGCATACCCTTCCCCCCAAGGCTCTTTGCGGAGAAAATTAACAAGAATGAACGGAAAGGGAAAGCAGAGATCACCCTGCTGGTGCAAGGTCAGGAGCCTCCAGAGTTCTGGGAGGCACTGGGCGGGGAGCCCTCTGAGATCAAGAAGCACGTGCCTGATGACTTCTGGCCACCTCAGCCCAAGCTGTACAAGGTGAGCTGTGGTGCTGGTGGCAGTGCTCTTTGCCTGGATTCTGGTGGGGAGAGGGTGCCCCCTTCTGGACAGAAAATCGCCAGAGCCGCGGTCTAGAGGCTCTAAGTGTTTTGAGAAGACCTGGAGAAGTCCTGCTAGAATGTGTGTTCCCAGGAGGGAGGCTGCAAAGTGCCTGGGTGGCAGGCCTGAGAAGCTGACCTTAATTCTGTAGGTGACAGGAATCCCCCAAGGGTGTTGCAAGCAAGAAAGGGACAGTTAAAGAATTAGAAATGACAGTAAGGGTCTGGAGAGGGTAGGCAGGGAAAGAAAGCCTCATTTAAAATCCTTTCCACTGACAGTGTCCTTAAAGCATTGGTGGAAGGAAGAAACCGAGGTCCAAAGGGGAGCAGGCGGTGGTCCTGAGCACACACAGCAGGGCAAGGGCCAGACTGGGGTAGAGGGGGGCTGGTGGGCGGGGCTCCTGTCCCCCCCCCCCCAGGCCTTCCCCTGGCACACCTACTCATTCCTGCTGCCAGGTGGGCCTGGGCCTGGGCTATCTGGAGCTGCCACAGATCAACTACAAGCTCTCTGTGGAACATAAGACCCGTCCCAAGGTGGAACTGCTGCCGAGGATGAGGCTGGTGAGGCACACGGAGGGAGGCGGGGGCCGGGGGTCCCCCCGCGGGGTCCGGGCATCAGCGTTGACCTCCAGTCTTTTCCTCGCAGCTGCAGAGCCTACTGGACACGCGCTGCGTATACATCCTGGACTGTTGGTCCGACGTGTTCATCTGGTTGGGCCGTAAATCCCCACGCCTGGTGCGCGCCGCCGCCCTCAAGCTGGGCCAGGAGCTGTGCGGGATGCTGCACAGGCCCCGCCACGCCTCGGTCAGCCGCAGTCTCGAGGGCACAGAGGCGCAGGTGCGGAGTGCGGCCTCCCCTACACAGCCCGGTCCCCAGATCCCCAGCCCGGTCCCAGCTGCCATGAGGCCAGCCCTGGGTGCCCTGCCAGGCCCCGCCCCGCCCCCTTGGCCACTAGGCCCGCCCCCGGGCTCTTCCCCTCAACCCAGTCAGGCCCCGCCCCCTCTGGCACTAGGCTCCGCCCTGACCTCCAGGCCCCGCCCCCAAGCCTTTCTGGGTCGCATTTCCTCTCTCTGGGCAGGTATTCAAGGCCAAGTTCAAGAACTGGGACGATGTGTTGACAGTGGACTACACACGCAACGCGGAGGCTGTGCTGCAGGGCCCGGGACTCACTGGGAAGGTGAAGCGAGACGCCGAGAAGAAAGATCAGATGAAGGCTGACCTCACCGCGCTGTTCCTGCCACGACAGCCGCCCATGGCGCTGGCAGAGGTGGGGGGCGGGGCCCGGGACGGGGCGGGAGGGGGACTCCGGAGGGTCCCTGCCCTCTGCCCTCTGCCCTCTGACTAGCGGCTGTTGGCTGTCGCATGCACGCATGCAGGCCGAGCAGCTGATGGAGGAGTGGAACGAGGATCTGGACGGCATGGAGGGCTTTGTGCTGGAGGGCAAGAAGTTCGCAAGGCTGCCGGAGGAGGAGTTCGGCCACTTCTACACACAAGACTGCTACGTCTTCCTCTGCAGGTGCCACCACAGAGCACCTGTCACCCGGCCCAACCCCTGAGGCTAGCGGGCTCTAGTCATGTCCCCACACACACCCCCCCCAACCCCCTGCTTACTGCCCTCTAACCCCCAGGTACTGGGTCCCTGTGGAGTATGAGGAGGAGGAGGAGAAAAAGGAAGAGAAGGAGGAGGAAAAAGCAGGAGCAGAGGGGAAAGAAGGTGAGGAGGCAGCAGCTGAGGCAGAGGAGAAGCAGCCCGAGGAGGATTTCCAGTGCATCGTGTACTTCTGGCAGGGCCGGGAAGCCTCCAACATGGGCTGGCTCACCTTCACCTTCAGCCTGCAAAAGAAGTTTGAGAGCCTCTTCCCCGGCAAGCTAGAGGTGTGCCTGCCACGCCACGCCCAGCTTCAGGCCATGCCTCCACCACCTCTGGCGAGGGACCCAGACCCCGGGGAGGTGTGGCCCAAGGGGCAGGGGGTCTGGTCCAGGGAGGGGCCCCTAACATCTCCATACCCACAGGTGGTGCGCATGACGCAGCAGCAGGAGAATCCCAAGTTCCTGTCCCATTTCAAGAGAAAGTTCATCATCCATCGGGGCAAGAGGAAGGCGTCTCAGGGCACCTTGCAACCCAGTCTCTACCAGATTCGCACCAATGGCAGCGCCCTCTGCACCCGGTGCCTAGCTTGGGGGGGCAGATGGGGTGGGGGGCAATGGCCAGCGGTGACTCCTTGCTGACACTCCCACTCCCCAGGTGCATCCAGATCAACACTGATTCCGGCCTCCTCAACTCAGAGTTCTGCTTCATTCTCAAGGTGAAGTTGTGGGTGTGGCCAGGGACTATGGAGCAGGGTGGTGGGTTGTGGGCTGTGGGCAATGGGCTGGCCAGTACTGAACCCCCGGCTCTCCCGTCAGGTTCCCTTTGAGAGCGAAGACAACCAGGGCATCGTATATGCGTGGGTGGGCCGGGCGTCGGACCCAGATGAGGCCAAGCTGGCGGAAGATATCCTGAACACCATGTTTGACACCTCCTACAGCAAGCAGGTGACCAGGGCAGGTGGTAGGCAGGTGGGCAGTCACTGGGCAGGGGCAGACCAGGGCCCTGAGCCTGACAGACCCTTTCCTGCAGGTCATCAATGAAGGCGAGGAGCCCGAGAACTTCTTTTGGGTAGGCATTGGGGCACAGAAGCCTTATGATGATGACGCCGAGTACATGAAGCATACGCGGCTCTTCCGGTAAGGCGGGGGCCCAGACCCTTTCCCCGCACTTCCTCCTGGGTCCTGGCACCCGTGTGTGACTCTCATAGCCTCTCCCCGCCCCTCGACCTCCAGGTGCTCCAACGAGAAGGGCTACTTCGCAGTGACGGAGAAGTGCTCAGACTTCTGCCAGGATGACCTGGCAGATGATGACATCATGCTGCTGGACAATGGCCAAGAGGTGAGGCTCCTCCCTGTTCAGGGAGCCCACCCCCCAGCAGATGGGGAGCTGAGGCTCCCTTGAGACCATCTGCCCTGCTGTCCCCACAGGTCTACATGTGGGTGGGGACCCAGACAAGCCAGGTGGAGATCAAACTGAGTCTAAAGGCCTGCCAGGTGAGCCGGGTGGTGAGGAGGGCCAAGGCTGGGTCTAGTGGGCCGCAAAGACTGCCCTTGGCTCACGCCTCGTCCCACTGGCCAGGTATACATCCAGCACATGCGATCCAAAGAGCACGAACAACCCCGCCGCCTGCGCCTGGTCCGCAAGGGCAACGAGCAGCACGCCTTCACCCGCTGCTTCCATGCCTGGAGCACCTTCCGCAAATCTCTGGCCTAGGGCAGCCACTGCCTGCCTGCAGTATCCCTAGCGCAGCCCTGAGCTCGGGCGAGAGCGAGGAGGGGCCTCGGTCCCTCCACGGCCCCTGCTCTGGCCACCCCCCCTAACCCCCAGTGCCACAGTCCCCAGCAGCACAGCCCAAGCAGCACCAGCGGGGAGACCCTGACCCATGCCCTCCAGGGTCTGGGCAGTTGGGAGTCCCTCCAGGGTAAGCTTATGTGTGATCCCCCATCCAACCAGAGAGAAAGCAATGTGGTTGCTTTTAAAGAGATATTAAATGCTTTTATTTTCAATATTAAAAATCAGTATTTTTAATATTAAAACAGCGCTAATTTTAACAAAATGACAGGAAAAAAAAACTCAAGGTACAATCTACAGGGAAACCAATCCTGACTGACCCCCCCCAACACACACACACACACACACACACACACACACACACACACTCACTCTCTCACTCTCACACATACCCGACTGGACCCCAGTCGTGGATGCCCAGCAGAGCTCCCAGTCACATACGCACACACACATGCATTCATGCAACAGACTGGGGGGTGGGGGTGGGTGCTGGCCCAGGAACAAGTACCAAAATAGTTTTAGAAATGCCTGTCCAGCCTGGCTCAGGCGTTAGAAAAATATTCTTTGCAAAGAGAGTGGGGAAGGACGGTGTGTTGAGTGGGAGGTGGCATGGGCTTGCCAGCCCCAGCTGTTCTCTCCCAGTGGCACCTGGCCTCTAGGTAGCCAACTGCCTATCTCCTATAGGCCATTGTGAATCTGTCCCAGAGGCTCGGGGCTGAGTCCCAGGCTCACTAGCCAGCCCCGCACCGCCCTGGGGCCAGGGTGGGAAGGTCCCGCTGGAGGCCATAGATTAGCAGGTGTGGGTCTATGCGAAGGGGCCAGGGGTCCTGGATCCCAGCTCTGAGCAGGGCAGCTGGTAGCCAAATAGTTTTGGCCTTCCTGGTAAAGGAGGAGGGGTCGGAGAAAGCCAGGAGGCCCAAATGGGCAGATAGCCTGGCTGTAGGGGTGCCACCACTCTGCTTCCACCCATTCAGGGGCAAGGGTCCTGCAGTGACAGCCAGAGGCGGGCTTTCGGAGTCTAGGCACTGACCACATTTCAGCGCACTGAGATTAGGGCATGGCCCAGGAAGACAAAGCAGGAGCTGGGGTGCCTGAGCTCCGTGCAGGGCCAGGCTGCATGGGTAGGAGCACCAGACAGCCAAGAAATAGTGGAGCAGATCTATGGGCCCCAGATGCAGACCCCAGATCCAGGCCCCACTTCCTGGGCTCACCTGACCAGACCTGACCACCGGAGCCTGGGTGATCTCTCCAAAATGGGCTAGCCAAACCAGCCCCCCACCCCAAGCTGCTGCCACTTCTAAGTGGTTTGCTCTGGCTTGATTCCAACCACCACCCACCCGTGATACCCAGAGGCTGACAGGCCAGCCTTGTTTTTCTAAGACTCAAGTATGAAAATCAAGGCTGTCGAACAGTAAGGACCAGGTAGATCCAGAGCCCCTAAATCGTGCAGCACCTCATTTGATCAGGATGGCGCAGGCTCGAGCCTCATCCTCTGCCAGATTCCTCAGATTCTTCTCTGATTCCTCTGAAGAGCTAGGGGGTGGGGGGCAGTGATCAGAGGGTCCGGTGACGTGGCCTTCCCTCAGGCCTCCATACCCAGCTCCAACGGAAGGAAGGCCAGAGGGTGTGAGAGGGAGGCTGGGAAGCCAGGGGAGCCCCTCCTGTGGACCCGCCCGTCCACCTGCCTCACCCCAAGAAATCCTTCACGTCCTCCACTGTGACGTCCCCTGTCGTGTCCAGTGTGGTGTCGGCACTGGTGGCCGAATCAACGGACATGGGCGAGAGCATGGTCTCAGGTGGCTCTGGGGTGTCTGCACAGAGGAAGTGGTTAGGCCCCTGCCCAGACCCCTAGGCACCCTGTGCCCTTCACCTCCCGCCCCTGGGGATCTGAGTCTCCAGACCCAAACCTAGCCCACCGTGAGGCTTGGGATGACAGCCCGACCTCCGGCCCTCTCCCGCCTGGCCTGCCCTACCCAGGGCTTCCAGCCATGGTAGGGCTGCTGCCTCCTTTTATTTTTTTTTTTTTAAAGGTTTATTTATTTATTTATGATCGACACAGAGAGAGAGAGAGGCAGAAACACAGGCAGAGGGAGAAGCAGGCTCCATGCCAGGAGCCTGAAGCGGGACTCGATCCAGGGACTCCAAGATCGCGCCCTAGGCCAAAGGCAGGCGCCAAACCGCGGAGCCACCCAGGGATCCCCGGGCTGCTGCCTCCTAACAGAGCCTTGCCCCATGTCTGTGGGTGGAGCTGTGTGGGTGTCCTGCCACCTTCCTCTCCCACCCAGTCCCCCTTACCAGCTCTCCTGCTGTGGCCAGGATCTGGGCTTCCATTGCGGCTCTGTGGGGCCAGGGCGATGCCTGGGGTCCCATTAGCCTGGCTCAGCTTGGGTGACTCTCGGAGCCTATAGCTGCAGAGACAGGGCCATTATGGGGGCCGCAGGAGTGCCAGACCCTGCCCACCCTCTCCCAGGCCCCAGGATCAGAGAGGAGTACAAGCAGGGAGGCTGGGCCTGGGGATATGACCAGCCCTAGAGACAGGCCTTTGGGCTGCACCCGCCATGCACCTGGCGCGGGTGGTATCTCGAGGCCAGCTAATGTCCAGAGAGCAGAGCGGCTCTGTGATGTTCCGGGCACTCAGAGAGAAGCGTTCAAACTCCGATGGAGAAATCAGGTAAAAACCTGGGTGGGCAAACAAGGAGTGGGGTGCAGTGAAGAGGTGGGCTCCAACCACAGCCCCCAGCGGCCTGCTCCTGGGCCTAGGCCAGCCAGTCCCACACCCGCCTGAGGGGCCTCCTCCCCACTGACATGCCCCAGCAGCTCTCCCAGTCCCTCTGAGGCCCCCACCCCGGGAAGGCTGCGCCTCACCCTGGCCGTGGCGCGTGAAGACGCAAGAGGCGATGCCACTAATGTCCTCTTTCCGGATGCAGGCATAGTGCACCTGGGGCCGCAGGCCAGGCACTGAGAACACATGCACGTCGCCCAGGTTCGTGAGGCAGGCCAGGCAGGTCTCAGCATAGTCCTCGCAGGCCACGCTGGCAAACGTGGCAAGTGCCACCTTGCGTACGCGACAGCCCTCGTGGGCCGTCAGCTTGAACTTGGTCTTGGCGCTCACCTTAGGTAGTGTGAATACCTGGCAGCAGAAGGGTGGCCAGTGAGCGGAGCCTGGCAGAGGCTATTCTGGATGCAAGCAGCAGCCTCCACCCTGAACCCAGCCTGCCAGGTGGGCCTGCACCCCTGGCCACATGGCTGCCTCTGCCCGGGCACCCTCCCGCCCCAAGCCAACCTTTCCTCACAGTCCACCTAGCATTCATGCTGCTCCCAGAAACCTCTCAGGGCCCCACCAGCTGTGGCCAAACCAGTCACACTAGGTTTTAAGGGTGAGATGGATGGTATCCACTCAGAGCATGACTTCCTGTCAGGCAGAGCCCTGCAGAGTGCTCAGAGGGCCCTGGTGGGGACTCAGGGAGGCAGGAGGGTCCTGAGGAGATGCAGCCGGCTGAGGGAGCATTGGGATTCTCCAGGGGGCATTTTGGCTAGCTAGGGGTGTCTGGGGATGGGAGGGAGGGGTTCAGCACGTAGGGGATATAAACAGGGCACTTTCTAGAGGGTCCCATGGCCTCCGAAGGGGGAGCCTGCAGGGTCTCCACGATGGTTTACCTTGAACTGCTCCTCAGATGCGATGAGCACGGCATGACCACCTTGCATGTCAGGGGCCTGTGCCAGATCCCGAGAGGCCTCATAGGGCTCAGGCAGCGGGCGGCCACGCCCATCCAGCACAGCGATGGCCACCACAGGCGCGCGGTGCATCAGCTGCACCTCCTTGCCCAGCACGGCCTCCACCGCCCTCTCAGCTCGCTTCTCGCTCCCCGCCACTGCCGCCGGCACTTCCAGAGCGTAGGCAAACACAGAGCCCGAGTTGGTACCTGCCCACATGGTGGGGCCATGGTGGGCCGCTGTGGGACAACGGCAGGTGAGGCAGGCTGTCAGCCACATGACACCCATTCCTCCCCTCCATTCCTGATGCTCCAGAACCACTCTCCCAGCCCATGCCTTCCTAGAACCTCGGCCAGCCTCGGGCCCTGAGGCACCTTCTCTATGTTGCTGTCCTTGGATACAGCCTTCTGGCAGAAGAGGGAAGGGCCTCCAGGACATCTCGAAGATGTCAACAGGCACCCCAGTTATACCCTGACCTCTCCCCCATCCTGCTGCACCCTCAACCCCCAACTTGGTTACAGGGGTCTGTCACACAGCCCTAACTCCTGCCCCCGCTATCAGGTGCCATCGCCAGTTCACTGACCAACTGGGAACCACCTTCACCCTGTAGATGTGCTCTAGCGGCCACGGCCCACACCTAAGGATGCTTCCCACCTTGCAGCCAGACATGGAGCCCTTGGGCCTGGGCTAAAATGACCTGAGGCCTGATGCTGTCTGGCCAGCTTTCCCTGTGTGAGCTAAAACTTGGGGTAGGTCCTTCAATGCAGAATCAGAACTGAATGTGAGGGAGCCATTAGTCAGTGCTGTGTGTCCCCTTGATAAACTGACAGCCATAGCAACAACCGTCAGGGGGAGCCAAACCCCAGGGAAGAGTCAGCAACTCATCATGCCGCCTGGACCCATGACAGCCAGCCACCTGGGAAGGTGCACCCCATCAGCCTTTTTGCAGGGACAGTGGACCAAGGTAAAGGCCTAGGGCTACCAAGTCTAGCTGGTGAGAAGATCCACTGGACAGAGGATCCCCAAGATACAAATAAACCAGGAGGAGGGTGTGCCCCTCTCAGACTCAGGGACTGGAAGTTGTCTCAGTGAGGTCAAGGGCCGCCTGACTAGATGCTGACCCGACATCTACTATAAAAAGGCATTTTTAAAAAATTTTTAAAAGATTTTTATTTATTTATTCATAGAGACACACACAGAGAGGCAGAGACACAGGCAGAGGGAGAAGCAGGCTCCATGCAGGGAACCTGATGTGGGACTCAATCCTGGGTCTCCAGGATCATACCCCGGGCTGCAGGCAGTGCTAAACCGCTGCGCCACCGGGGCTGCCCTAAAAAGGCATTTTTGAGACGAATGGAGAAAGCCACCATGGACCAAGCGGGACTGGGATCAGCATTGGTTCCATGAGGTACGATGTGGGTGCCCTGGCTGTGGATTATGCCTGTTGGACACACACTCAAGTCCTCAAACGTTTTCATTTAAAATACTCCAGCAAGGGATGCCTGGGTGGCTCAGTGATTGAGCATCTGCCTTCGGCTTAGGGCGTGAACCCAGGGTCCTGAGATTGAGTCCCGCAGGGAGCTTGTTTCTCCCTCTCCCTGTGTCTCTCATGAATAAATAAATAAATAAAATCTATACAACACTCCAGCAAGATAGACAATGGAGCATGAGGTGGGGATGGTGTGACAGCAGCAGATGGCTGGGGGCATCAGGCCGGATGTGCAGGGTGATGGACTCCTATTTTTGAATATGGCTGAAATTCTGTTACACAAGTTAAAAACTGATCAGCGAATCAGTCAATAAACCAGGCCACAGCAGTCTATAGAGGACCCTGCATAGGCTCCCAGCCATCAGGGGCAGAGCCGGTTCCTCAGTGAGGCTGACCCTCGCATGCCCCTCCCTCAGATCTTGGGCTCCCTCTCCCTCTTCAGATCTCAGAGGCTCACCAGGCTCCCTCACCAGCCCCACACACATGGGAATTCTGGGGGGCCGGGGACTATTTGGGGAGCCAGTTCAGTGTGGCATGTGGTAGGCTTCCCTACCCTCCCATAAGGCCCGGTCCCACCCCCTCCCCGTATCTCCTAGATGGCCAACCAAGGCTCATCTCCCCAGTGCATCCTCCCCATCTCACCATCTCGAAGAAACGTGTCAGCGAAGTAGAGGCAGCGGACGACGCCAGAAAGGGAGTCGTCGGCGGAGCGGGGCTCAATGCGGCGCTGCACTGGGGTCATCTCCACATCGTGGGGGCAGGCCTGCTCAGCCAGCTGCGCATTGGCCTCCTGCAACTGGAGAGGCAGTGGCCTCCAGGATGCTGCCTTCCCAACACCTTGCCTGTGCCCATGCAACCTGGTGCCCAGCAGCCCGGCACCCTCTTGATCAGCCTGGCCAGAGCAACTATGGGGAGTGGACACCAGGCTTGGGGCCAAGGCCGGGACCGGTGCCCAGCTCCGTTGCTCTGCCCAGCCCTGAGAGGTAGACAGGCGGCACCCGGGGCAGGCTGGCCCCAGCTCACCTTGCTGGTGGCACTAGTGGCCCGCTTCTTGCCCGAGACTCGGCTCTTGCGGATGCGCCGGAAAGACTGGCGTAAAGACTTCTTGAGGGACTTCACCCGAGACAGTGGCCCCTCCATGGCCAGGGAGTCGTTGGGGTGTAGTGTGCACCTGTGGGCAGGAAGGTACCAGCTGGGCCACAGAGCAGACTCCTGGAGCAGCCACTGTGCTCCCATTGGCCCCATGGGTCAGGAACCAGAGGTCCTGTGTGGCTGTCCTGCAACCCAGCAGCTTGGCGGGGGTGAGGTAGGGGAGGGGTTTAAAACTCTACCAGTGACACTTCCCATGAGGACGGAGCTGCCGAAGGGGAAGGGGGCTTCAGGTCACCCTATCTTTACCATATGAGAGCTTAGAAGGGGAAATCGGGGCCCCAACAGTTACAGGGAAACACCAGGGTTCCCACAGGAGGCTGGGCCTGTCCCCCACACACCTGGCCAGCACAGGGCTCCTGCGCTGATAGTCAAAGAGGCCAAAGCCGTGACTGGTGCCAAAGGCCACGAGGCTCCACTCGGCATGGAGCGTGACGGCTGTCACAGCAGCCGGTGGCAGGCACTGAACCAGCACCCGGGGCTGGAAGCCAGCAGGCCACGGCAGCGGCCCCGTGCGTGGACTCAGCCGCTCATGGCCCTTCCACGTGAAGCCCTCTCGGTCCTGGAGGAGGTCCACACTGGCCACGCTGACTGCCTGCTCCAATGGCACATCACTTAGCTCCAGCACCAGCACCTGAGCCCACGGTGGGGTGGGGTAGGGGCAGGGTCAGCAAGGAGGACGATGGTATTAAACCACCCAGGCCCTACCTCATACTGCAAAGTCCTTGCCAGGGTGGTCCCAGTACGGTCTCCAGTTCATCTGCTTAAAAAGCACTATTGGCTGCCTACTGTATACTAGAGCCTTCACTAAGCACTGGGAAACACGGTGACCAAGACCCACTGCTTTGCCGTCTAGCAGCAAAATATGCCCCCTACCCCCATGCCTGTCTTCCTTTAGTAATAAGCAGACACTGAGCACCTCCTGTATAATGCAAAAGTGCCAGTGGCACAGCAGTAACCAAAGCCCATTGGTCTCTGAAGCAAAGGACTCCCCGTTAGCCTGTCTCACAACTGACGATGAGTCCCCTACTGAACACCTATGTACCGTGTGAGTGCTGGAAGCACAGCAGTGACCCCACTTCCCCAAAGCTCACCTAATACTTGGGCTCTCAACTCCAGCCCCAACCCTCCATGGTTCCCCAACAACCAGAGTCTAGCCCTCAAGACCCCCTAGTAGGTTCCACCTCCCTGGCTGGCCGTACCCCAGCCATCCCCACCTGGAGTCCCATTTCCATCTCTGGGCTTTTGGCCATGATGGTCCCCCTCCTGCTCCACCAGACCATCTGGATCAGGCCCACTTCCTCCAGAAAGCCCTCTGAGACCCCAACCTGGATGACACCTCCACCTTACCTGGCCTGCAGTGCCAGCTACCACCATCTGGGCCGTGTACTTGCAGAGTGCCACCTTCTGCACCCCAAGCCGAGGATCATCACTATAGGGGTCGAAGCAGCCCACCTGGGGGGCGGGATGGGGAGATGACACGGGGCAGAGCTGGGGCCAGACTCCCCAGGGCTGGGGGAGGGGCCCACCTTGCGAAAGGGCGGCCAGTCATCCTCGGTGGCCTGGGCCAGGCTGTCGGCATGCTCGCAATCTGTCTGGAAGAGGCCAGCTGTGCTTAACTTGTAGAGTGGCCGCAGTGCCACACCTGAGGCATCCCAGAACCGCACGGTGCCATCCTCATGGCTGCAGGGAAGGTGATGTCAGGCCTAGTCTGGGGCCCCTTGCACCCCACATCCACTCATCCAACAACCACTCACTGAGCACCTACTGCAGATGCCAAGCACGGACCAGACTCCCACTGCACGCAACAAACAGGAGGCATCTACTGTAAAGAGCAAACACACACCGAGCGCCTACTGTATGCCAGACCACATGCACCTGGGCCTCTCAAACAGGATGAAAAGGTGGAAATAATCACCAGTGTGACGAGCAGAAGATGGTAGAAGAGATAATGCAGGGAAGAGAGGACTACAGGCGCATCCAGAAAAGGTGATCGGGAGTTAGCCACAGAGCAGAAGGATCAGCTGGGGCATGAGGCAGCCATGTAGGCAGAGCAGCAGGAAGCCTGGGGAGGCTGGGAGGAAGCAGGGAGGGGAAGTGGGGGGCAGGAGCAGACAAATCTGGGGGTGCAGCCTCAGGACACAGCTGCAGAGCCCATGTCAGAGGCCGTTGGGCGGTACTGGAAGCCCAGAGCCAGCGTGTGAAAAGGTGCATGAGTCTCTGGGGCTGGTTGGGACACCTCCAGAAGCACTGGAAGCCATGATTAGGATTTCTCCAGCAAGGGAGGGGACACTGGAGTCAGAGGCCTGAGGGTCCCGGCACAGGCAGGCAGCAGGGGCAGGGCAGGGCAGGAAGTCAGGGCCTGAGTCATTGGGGCACGTCAGCGCCCGCCAGGCCCAGGATGGGCTCTCCAGCACCTGCCCTGGGCAGATCAGCGTGGGCCAGCCCAGATTTTCCGGTCCCAGGGCAGGCTGGGTGGGTGGAGCTCAGTTTTAGACCAAAAGGCAGGGCAGGGCGGGGCCTTATTAACCCAGGGCCCAGGGCGGCTTCATCCCAATCCACCCTGCAGGAGAGGGGATGGCCTGACCCCAACAGGGGCAGGGCCCAAGTCACTGGGCAGGGCAGTACCCATCAGGCCCAGAATGGGCTCTCCTGTGCAGGCCGCATCAGGCCCCATCTGCCCACATACACACGTGCGCGCGCGCACACACACGTCACACCTGTGCTCGCCACGGAGCACACGTGTCTGCCTACCCGGTCAGCAGTAGCCCTCGCTGTGATGGCTCCTGGGCCAGGTTCCGGCCCCCAGTGATGGGCCAGCTCTGGGCAGATACACAGAAGTAGAAGGTCAGGACAAATGCCTTTTCCTCACCCTGGACTTGGCACCCAGGGCCCAAAGTGCTTCTGAGCCGCCACCTCTGGGCCTGTGCCTGGGCACTGCCAGGGCCATCCTCCCTCCCCAGGCCCCGGCCCTGCAGGGAACCCTGGGCACATACCAAGGTGCTGGAGGCAGGCTGTGGACTCTGCTGCTCGCCAGCGCTCACAATGCGGGCCCACAGCTTGGCGGGAACGTTGGCAACGTGTGCCGAGCAGGTGATGGCAGACGAGTGCAGTGGGGCTAGGTATGGAGCAGGCACGGCAGGCCAGCCAGGCGTCTGCAGGTCGAGCACCACCAGCTCCTCCTCAAGCAGCACGGCCAGGGCTTGGGGTTCGTCAAACTCTGCAGGATGAGAACTAGGTGAGCCCAGCTGCAGGAGGCGCGGGGCACAGGGCGAGGAGGGACAGGGCACACACCATCCTCAGGCCGTGTGCTGTGCACTGTGAAGAAGTCAATGATGCGGGAGGTAAAGTCCAGCGTCACCAGAGTCTCGGCTCGGAGCACGCTCACGCAATGGCGGTCCCCATAGCTGGCACGGGGCATGCCGCCACTGAAGATGATGAAGTGGTCCCTGCATGGCAGGTAATGGAGCAATGTGAACCCCCCCCCCCCGGGCCCCAGGTGCCCACTACCTAACCCAGGGTGGGTGATGCAGGACAGCCCTGTGTCCCAGAGCCCACCCCCCTCCCCCCTGTAGACATGACCTCCCAACCCGTACCTGAGAACCGGCTCCCCACCTACCCAGATTCACAGTTTCGCCACAGAATCTTGTTAATGGCTTTGCAGGGGAAAGGGCCTGGAGGAGTGGGACAGTGTCGGGCTCACTCGCTCGCCAGTACCAAGAGGGCCCCATGTCCCATTCCTTCAAGGTTTTCCCATTCCTATTCTGCCTCCGTCACTTCCCACCTCACAGCTGCTTCCTGAGTCCCCAAGGGGAAGGCCCACTGACCCACCGTGAACCCCCAGCAGTCTCACCTTTGAGGATCCGGTGGCACTGCCCCCTTCCACAAGTCCTCCTGGACACCCCCACCAGGGCCAGGCAGCCCCAAGTGCCTGAGCTTGGGGGGACCAGTCAGCCTCATGCTCAGGTGGCAGCGGCTGCCCTCGGACTTTCCGGCACTCACCGTAGGGTGTGGTGGCTACTGTGGGCTGTGTCATCGGGGAGTCGCCGGCGTCTACTGACCAGACGGCGTAGCTGCCGTCGCTGTGCGAGCTGACCAGTGTGCGGCCACTGCGTTCCCAGCACAGGCTTTCCAGCTGCTGCAGGGCAGAGGGGGTGAGTGTGAGCAGGGGCAGGAGCAGGGGGCCTCGGCTACCATGCTGGCCTCCTCCATGTACCTGGTTGCCCAGGAAGACTCGGTCTGCGCACTGCGCCGCCTGGTTCCAGATGACCAGCAGGCCCCGGCTGTAGCCGATGAGGATCCTGGTGGGGTCCTGCAGATGTCCTTGGAGTGACTCCACAGGGCCCAGTGCCTTTCCACACCGGTAGTCGTCTGGCACGCTGCAGAGGGGCTCAGGTGAGCTGGTAGGGCACCACCCAGGCACCAAGTGGCTGCTGGGAAGTCCACCTGCCTCTCACCTTCGAAGAACCTCATCCGGGGCAAGAGTCTGCCCCTCAAGCAGCGTCAAGGTGGGAACGTCCAGGAAGAAGATGCTGCCGCCCTCGGTGCCCAGGGCTGCCATGTCACCAGCCGCCACCAGCAGGACCACTGTGACACGGGCGAGGCTGAGCGGGCCACTGCAGGGGATGAGGGGAGGCAGGTGAGGGCCCAAGCCCATCCACCTGCTGAGGACTGGTGTGGATGGGGCTGGGCTGCTTCTGGTAGCTCCTTAGGGCCCCTGCGTGCTCACAGAGGCCCAATGATCAAGTGGGCTGGCGCACCAGAAAGGCAATGGTGGCGGCTACGGGCATCGTAATTAGCTCACTCAATTATTCATCAGGATGTTGGGAAGGAGAGGGATAAAAATAGGTTCCCCAGGTCTTGGAGACAGGCTCCCAAGCCCCTCCCACGCACCAGGAGGGGAAGGCAGGAACTAGGCCAGTGCCTGGGCCAGGATCACGGGCACCAGGACACACATGACCCTCCCAAGTCCCACCCAGGAACCCCAGTCACCAGCCCACGGAGGACTCCCTGACTTTGCAGGAGTACTCAACTGACCCTGAATGCAGATGCTGGAAGAGCAGCCCTGGGGCAGGAGTAGGCGCAGCAGTGAGAGCTGGATGTGGGGGGGGGGGTATCACCCAGCCCCCAGCAGGGGCAGGACAAGCCTCCCACTGAGGCCATACAGAAATCCGGAAGCTACTCTGACCGCTTTGGCAAGGGCCAGCAGGGCCAGGGACATGCCCATCGGGGGGCCAGGCCCACTCCACTCCCCTACAGTGTCCTGCTGGCACCTTCACAGCCTGGTGGGACCCTCCTTGCCCCCAAACCTGCCCACTCAGCTACACACACTATGGCCTGTTGCCCCAGCCCCAACCGTTAAAAGGCCCCAGTGGTCGCCGGAGCATGGACACTATGTGCTCACCTCAGACTCAGCCAGAGCCCCCTATTTAACACCCGCCACGTCCATGTGGCACATCTCTCCAAGATCGGGCCCAGCTCGATGTACTCTTCACCCTGAACTCTAGCACAGGGGCAGCTTTGTGTGCCCACGGTGCCTCTGCAAGGCTGGCTCCAACCACATCCAGCAGGCTCCACACCCCCATGCCCCGCAGTAGGTCCCCAGTCAAGTCCTCCAGTACCTGGCACTGTCAAAGCCCGGCCGACTAGGTGGCTGGAAGCTGAGCGCTTCCTCCAGGTGGGCGCAGCCATGGTGGTGGACAATCTCCCAGAGGTGAAGGCTGCTATCATCCAACAGAGTTAGCAGGCGGCCCTGGGGGATGAGCAGAGACCGAGCCTGGGCTGGGCTGGGCTGGGGTGGGGAGGGTGTGGGGGCTGTGGGAGTGGGCAAGGGTAGAGGCTCACCTGGCCGGGTAGGAAGTGCATCTGGGTAACGGTGGCTGTGTCCCGGTGTAGGCCAGTGAACTCCACACCAGGTGCACCATAGCTGCATACACAGGTCAAGGACAGAAGCAGACACCGGAGATCCTCCTTCCCAAGAGCCATTCCAACAGGTCCCAGCCAGCCCAGCCTTCTGAGGTCCAGATGGGACCCCTCCTCCAGAAAGCACTGCCTCGTACCCACAAGATATCCCCAGGCTCTAAGCGCAGGCTTTGCTCTGCTCCTGCAAGTTGGTGCTGCTGTGTGACCTTCACTTCCTCATCTGTAGGATGGGCTGGTGAACCCCACTCTCACCTTGTAGGTCTGATGCAGGGCAAGTGAGAATAAAAACAGCTAGCACACTTGGCCCAGGCCTGGCACATGGTCAGTGTCTCGCTCTGTGTCAGCCTAGTGTGTGCTCCCATGTGCATAAGAGCTAGGCCCCACAGGTTGGGAGCACACAGGCAGAGGGGCCAGGCCAGGCCTGGGCACAGAAGCCTGGGGCAGAGGAGAGTCCAGGCTGCCTCCTCCCACAGCTCCAGGTCAACCTCCAGTTATGGAAAAGGAAACCAACCTCCCTCCAGGGCAGGCAGCCAGTAGCCCCCACTGTGACCGGGGAGAGGCTTCGGTTTGCCCATTTCACAGACAATACACAGAGGCTTGGAAAGGGTGGGTGAGCTGCCTCAAGTGCCAGGTGCCAGCACCAGAGTCACAGCAGCTCCAGGTTGGACAGTGGTCAGGCAGGGGGCCTCGGGAGGGAGGGCTGGGAGGGGTCAGCGTTGCCGGGCAACAACACAGGAGCCCTTGCTTCCAGCCAGAGTTGGGATTCCCTGCAGGAGCCAGGAGAACACAGAAAAGGGGACAAAAGAGAGGGCAGGAGCTGCTGGGCGGGAACCAAGGTTGCCAAGGAGACAGGCTGCTCCTGAGGGGGAGGGGTAGCTTCTGGGGCCAGCCTCAGTTTCCCAACCCAAGGCTCCAGGCTAGGGTAGTTTGGGGGAAGAAACGAGGGGAGAGAGGAGAGCCCCAGCCTCCTCTGAGGCTGTCTCCTGGTCAGTACATCAGGTTCTTTGTGAGCACAAGGAGCACGGAGGGATGGCTCCAGTGACTAATGGAGTTGCAGGGCGCAGGGCACTGAGCAGCCACTGACAGGGAGAAAGGGCTTCAGGAACACGATATACACGAGTGAGCAGGACTGCAGCGTGGGGGCGGGCAGAGGCCAGGTAATGCACGCCCCCCAGGGCCAGTGGGGGCTCAGGGGCGGGGGTCCAGGCCCTGTCCCTCCCCACCCCACTCCCTGCTCCGCTGGGGCCTCAGGGGCCCATGGGAGTGGAGGGGCATCCCTGCTCAGCCACACTCCCCAGAGAAGGCAAACTCAAACCACAGGCCCAGGCACCCACCCCTGCCGGGCCACCTTGCCCTGGAGAGGGAAGACCCCAGGCACTGACTCATTTTGCTGCCAACCAGTGTCCCTGGCGAGGGTACTGAGAGCCAGAGAAGGAGTGAGGGAGAGCACCCCTCACCCAGCAGCCCCCAGCCAGGCCCCCCAGCCAGGCCCTCCACCTGGGTTTTCCCACCCAAGGGGCTTCATGGAGAGCAGCAGGGGCGGGGTTCTCCACTGCAGGCAGGGAGGCATTCAGCTGCCTGCTTGCCCCTCCAGCACACCCCCCCCCCCCCCCCCCCCCGTGCCTACAGGAAAATGCCCGCTTTGTGTGGCTCACACGGCCCATTGTGCAGCCGCCAGCACCCAGGTGGGGGCTGCGCCGCGCTCACCATGCTGAGCCTGGCACGGCCCCCAGCCTCTCGGCTCAACACATGTGTCTTCACACTCGCACACATGAGTGTCTGGTCACTGGAGCCAGGCCCACTGTGAGACCCTGGCCCACCCGCCACCCTTGCGCGGGTACAGTGTATGGCCAGTGTCCTGGCCCAGCATCCCCAGTCAGTTGCTGGGACGATGGCAGGGTCGCCTAGGTAACTGGCTAGCTGAAATGCAGCTAGGGACAGCTGTGACCACCGCCAGCTGACCCCTCCCCCACAAACACTTCTGTAAGGAAGAGGCTCAGAGCAGAGGCCACACCAACCTCCACCAGAACCCCTGCGCCGACTGCGGCCTCCAGGGCCGGGCCGGGCCCAAAGAGCCTATGCACAGGGGGCTGCAATCAGGAGGTCCTGATGAGCCCTGAAGGCCATGGTTCGAAAAGGATACATCTTGACGGCCCCGGACCTTGTGCCGATGGCCATGATGCGAAGCTCTGGGTCGAAGGCCAGGGCGCTGGGCTGGTTGGGGAAGCCATGCTCCACAGTCTGCAGGGGACGGGAGGGCATTGGCACAGGCACTGCCCCCCTCCCCCGCCCACCTGAGGCCCACCCCAAGGCAGCCTCCACACTAGCAGAGCTGCACAATAGCCCCGTGCCTCAGTGTTCTCAGCTCTAAAACAGGCGATCACACCTCCAATCCACATGGCAGAGGCCTGCCCCAGGCCAAGGCTTTGTCCTTCACACCTGTGTCCGGCCCGCTGTGTGCAGGGCTCTGGCAACAGAGAGAAGCAGGACCCACAAGGTACCAGCAGAGTCAGCCCTACCCATCCCACGGAGTAGGGGGTCTGCACCCTGTTCTGGGAGGAGAGGTGCCATGCCCTCTGAGGCCCACCAGCCCCACATGGAGATGGGAGGGCAGCACCCAGGATCAGCTAGGTCAAGGCTCTTGACCCTCTCCCTCCCCCAGGGCCCCTCTTCCTGGTAGGGACAGCCATAGCGCAGACCCCTGCCCACCAGGTTCTTGCTCCTTCCTTCCACTCACTACCCGCTCGTGCTTTCCTTAGTTTTCCCACAACCACCAAGGAACTTCTACTCATCCCCAGATGCCGGACTGGAGCACCACCTACCCCACCCCCATCCTCGACACCAATGTGGGACATGACACATGGGTCCAGCTATCTCCTGACCAGTGCCTCAGGAACACATACATTTCAAAAGAAAACTGTGGTCCCCAGGCCTGTTGGCCCAGCCTCCCTCCTGCTTCAACTAATCCAGGAAGGGACTGAGCTCTCTCTGCAGCCTGCTTGGTTGGATTCAGGCTAGTCAAAACATTCTCGACACCTCAGTGTCCCATGTGCTCACTAGGGGCAGTGAGCCCACCTGAGGACAGAGTAGCCCATTTGGCTGGGGGTGCAGGGGGAGAGCTTCCCACGCTCATACCAGAGCTGACCAGGTCTAGCCAGTCCCATCCTCTGCTCAGGACCCTCTTGGGGCTCCCACCTCACCACCTGGCCCCTGTCTGCCCTCCTCCTCCCTCCCTCCCCTAGCTTGACTGCTGGGCCAATGCCCTTCTGCTCTCCTCCAATTTACTAGGCAGGCTCCTGCCTCAGGACCTTTGCATCTACTGTCCCTCTACCTGGACACCCAGCAGTGCCCAGAGAGGGCTCCTCTCCACTACTCAGCTCTCAGCTCAGGAGTCAACTCCTCAAAGCCCTCCCTAAACCACCCTGCTCTAGCAGCCTCCCTATTCCTATACTCCTTACCCTCACCCCACTTTACTGTAACCACAGCACTGGTCATCATCCAAACTGCTGCACATTTTACTCTTTTGCTGTGGCTTTTTACTATATCCCCCATGAGTATATCAGCACCCCGAAGAGGCATTTGTCTCTCTTGGTCACTGTAGTGTCCCCAATACCAAGAAGGGGGCCCCTCACACAGTAGGAGCTCAAGATTGTTAAACTGACATAGAGTGGACATCCCACAGGCAAGCTGTGGGCAGGACAGAGATTCGGATGCAAGATAGTCCAAGGTCCATGCTTGCTTCTGACCCTTCCCACCACTCGGGAATCTGGGATCTATTTGTTTTCTAGTGATCACCTATCTCCTCATGTGAGCAAGCCCCTACCCCAAGCCTCACCCTTCCCACCAATGCCACCTACTCAGAATAGGGCCTCACCGGCCTTAGCAGGGAACCCTTGGCTTCTGCTGACCCAAGGCCAGCCAGGAGGAGCCCAGCCTCCCCACCATCTATCTCCACTTCACACCCTGACTCACTGGCTGATGAAGTGACACCTGCCCCCAGCATCCTTCTCCTCTCACCTCACAGGGGCTCTTGCTCACAGCCACCCAGCATATGAAAGAGACCAGCTGGGAGACCCCCGGGCACCAGCCACCCCTCTGGGCCTCCCAGGCCCCTGCAAGTTCTCAGCCACCATGTCTGAGGCCCCAGCAGCCGCCATCACCAGGAAACCCTGCCTGCCCCAAAGGACATTTCCACCTCGACCACTTCAGATCCAGCCATCCTAGAGCTTTCTCTTAAACAAGAGTCTCCTGAAGTCTGGCTCAGGACTACAGCAGCCCTTCCAAAAACCCCTGCACCTCAAAGCTAAAGTCAAACCTCATCGACAAGAGTCCACGAGGACAAAGTGCCCCGACTCACTCTCTGACTCTGGGCAAGTCGTCATCCCTCTCTGAATCTCCATTTTCTCACCTGTATGATGGGGATAGTAACTCTAATCCCCAAGAGCAGTGAGGGGCTGTGCCATCAGAGGTCTGGAGTAAAACTGAGCCCAGAAGCAGCACCCCAGAAGTTAGCAAGGGAAAGGCTGGGGCCTGGATCAACCACGCATGGGTGCAAAGGTGGAGGGGAGGAGGGAGTGGAAGGTAGTCCCAGTACTGTGGCCCCTCTTGCCCTACCCAGGAAAAGAAAGGAAGGAGCAACCATCTCCACGTTGGCCCAAAGGATAGGTCAGCAGGCCCATGTGATACAGGGAGCCAGAGCAGGGAAAAAGGTGGCCCCGTTTTATAGCAAGGAAAACTGAGGCCCCAGGAGTGTATTCATCTACACAGCCAGGCATCTTCTCTGGAGCCCCCAGCAAAACAGGGCAGGGCAGAGCCCCCAAGGCAGAGCCCCGGGCCTTGGGGGTGGGGACGAAAGAAACAGGGAAAGGATCTCCCAGCCCCACCCCCCAACATCTGCCTCCATTCCTCACCCCTCCCCACTGGCCTGGGTGCGAAAGCAAAACAAACTGGGGCCCTGGGCTGCCCCAAGGGCTGAGCAGGGGCTCCGAGGGCCCCCAAAGGAAGAGAGATAAAGAGACAGAGACCGAGAGCCAGAGTGAGAGTTCCAGAGACCTTACAGAGACCCATGGAGGTGGAGAGACACGCAAAGACTCAGAGATGAAGAGACAGAGAGAGAAGAAAGAGAAGGGATACGCAGAGACACACAGGGACAGAGGCCGACACCCCCTCCCCAGACACAGGCATAGGATAGGCTAGGACAGGAGGTGATCACAGACCGAGGCGGGGCAGAGACCCAGGACATGTAAAGAGTCGCACAGGGACAGAGAGAGACACCGACCCAGGGACACGGAGACCCGCAGAGCCAGGGCCAGCGAGGCCCACCGGGACCCGGGGGAGCGGACTGGGAAAGTCAGCGAGGGACCCAGACCCACCCAGAGTCCGAGAGTGGAGCCGAGGAGGAGGCGAGAAGTGGGGCCCGTCGACCCGCGCGCGACCCGGCCCCCGCGCCGCGCCTCGGCTGGGCGCCCCCTCCCCCCGGGCCCGACGTGGCTCCGGCCCCCGCGCCCCCGGCTCGGGCCCCCGGCTCGGGCCCCCGGCCCGCCGCGTCCCGTCCCGCCCTCTCCCTCTGCCCGAACCGCCGCGCCGCACCTTGTTGAAGGCGAAGAGCTCCTGCTTGAGCTTCTCGCGCTGCGGGTCAGCGCCCTGCCGCCGGAACCGAAACTTCATCATCTTGCGTCCGGCTGCCGGCGCCGCGCCCGCCGCCGCCGCCGCCGCCGCCGCCCGCAGGATGCGCCGCGCGGCCCCGCGGGTCCTGAGGCGCGGGCGGGGCGCCAGGCGGCCCGGACGCGGGCGCGCGGGGCGGGGCCTGCACGGGGGCGGGCGCAGAGCGCGACTGACGTACAGCCCGACCAATGGGTGTGCCCCGGTGCCGCTCGCCCCGCCCCTGCCGGCCAGACAATGGGGGCAGACTGGGCCCCCGGGCTCGGCCGGGCTCGCGAAGGTGCTCCCGCCGAGCATGCGCCGCGGCGCGGGTCCTGCCGGGATTGTAGTCCGCGAGCCAGGCTTCCTGCGTGGGCGGCTGGGGACAAGCTTTGGAGGGGGCTGACGGGTGTTCCCGAACTTGGAGGAGGCCTTTCCTTCCTCCAGGGAGGAGCGGCGTGCTTATTCAGGTAATGAGGCGGACCTGCCCCGAGAGCCGGGAGAGTTTTGGCAGATCCAACTTCTCGGCCCCTCAGCCTCAGTTTCCCCACCTACATTACGGCCCAGTGATTGCCAAGGTTTACAGTTCCACGGGGCAGCGCTTTGTTCGCAAGTGTGCCAGAACACCTCCCACCACCGCGCTTTTGCTCCACTGGTGGTCAGTCAGGAATGCCCTCCCCAGTCCCTAGCCCCTGGGAATCTCCCACACATCCTTCAGGGTCCATCGCAAAAGGCTACGCGTAGCAGCACGGGATTCACGGGCCACCCAGCTAAAGAGAGGGGCAGGTAAGAGGCCCTGCCTCCGGAGGTGGCGTTTGGGGCGAACCGAGATTGGATCTGGGCTCTTCCAGGGTGGGGGAAGGGCCTCCCCTGCACGCAACACTATATAAACAAAGCTGCACCCGCCTCCACTCTCCGAGGGACTATCGGCCTGTCCCCACCCACCTCGAAGGCCGCCTTTTCTCTTCTGGACCGTGGCCTCAAGGCCGAACCTTTCCTTCCAAGGCTGAGGATAGGCTGCCCCGGTTCAGGGCTGGGCAGGAGGGAACTCCCAGGAGCTTAGGTGGAGCCCAAGGGCCAGCACCCCCCCCCGCCCCGCCCCCCAGCTGTGTCCAGGGAGGCAGGCCCGACTTCTGATCCTAAGGTAGCTACCAAGCAACGGGGGCCTGGCTGTCCCCCACCGCCGGCCGCCCACGCCCTCAGCGGCCCAGCTCAGCCCTGCCCTAGGGTTGGGGCTGCATCTGGAAGAGGAAGGTGGGGGCAGGGGAAGCAGGGAGGTGAGTGCAGGGACCATGATCAGCACTGCAAAGTGTAAGGGTCCCTCCAGCGTGGCAGACACTATTCCAAAGCCTTCCTTGTTTCAAGGGACTTAATGCCTCAACTTATCTGTGAGGGAGGAAACAGGATTCCCCACTGTACATTTGGGGGAGCTAAGACAGATGGGCCAAGGCAAGCAGGGCCTTCCACCTGAGCCAGCTGAGCTGGCTGGACAGGAAGGCCAGACCCCTCCGGCCACTGTGCACTGAACACCCGACAAAAGTAGCTCAGGCAACTCCAAGGCCTGGGTTCTGATCCCTGCCCTGCTACCCAGAGCCCCAATTTCCTCCTCGGCAAAATGAGAACCTCACAAAGGGAAGTGTGAAGTTGTTAATTTACATTCCCACATCATTGGTTAGAAGCTGTGTGGCCTGAGGCAAGTAACTTAAGCTCTCTGTTTCTGAGTGTCCTCACCTGTGTTAATGTGGCGACCCAGTACCTACTTCAAAGGGTTGCTGTGGAGATGGAATGAATTAGGACTTGTAAAGCCCTTAGAAAGTTCCAGGCAGGCGGAAGGCCCTGGAAGGGCTGTGTGTGTGTGTTAGCAGTTCCACAAAGTTCATGCTAATTGCTACGTGAGCTCTTCCCGTCTAGCACCCTGGGCCAGTCCCTGCCCTTCCTCAGTCTCCAGTTGTCTGTCTTTGAAAGGGGCCCTAGTCATCATGCAGTTAGCCTCCATGCCTCCCCACCACACTCCCAGCTCACGGCTGCCAGGGGTAGGGGTACAGAGCTGAGCGGAGACAATGACCACCCAGGGTTTACTGTGCCAAGAGGGGAGACACGGGTGGGAGGAGGCTGTGGGAGCCCAGAAGAGGCATCTGACCCGAGGTAGAGGCCTGGGGGTGGACAGATAGGGGTCCTGCAGCAAGGAGGGGTTCATGAGGTGTCAGAAGTCACCCCACACCTCTAACCTTGCACATTTTAGGTCCCCCAAATGAGTGTGCCTGTGGAATGGGGGTCCAGAATGTGGATTTTACACCAGCCCTTTCTTGGGTGGCTGAGGCCCAGCTTGGCCTCATCCATCAGTTTGAAAGGGGCTAAATGGGTGCACTGCGGTATAAATGGGTGGACTGAGACACTGAGCCGTGGCAGACTAGGACAGCCCACCCACATGAGGGCAGGGTTTAGGAGTGGCCCCAGGGAGGGTTCCATCCCAGGCTGGGAGGGTCTGGGGCACTAATGACTCTGTGTCTCCCCTCCCCCAGAGCCTCCTTGAGAACAGGCCAGGGATTACTGCTGTCGCCAAGGACACTAGAGCCGGTGGCCAGGCTCATTGGTGGATGCAGAGAACCCAGGCTCAGGGGAGCCCAGGCAAGGCCATGAACACAGGACCTTCAGTGATATTGGGCGCCACCATCCTACTCTGGGAGCACTGGAAGGGAGAGCATATCCCTCCTTCAAATCTCCCAGCCTCGGGTCAACCTCAGGCCAGGGAATGACTGCTCCCTTCTTGGCATTTCCTGGGTGAGGTGGCCTCACCCTCCTTCTCCGCCCTCCCCCTCCTCCTCCCTCCTCTCCTCCTCCTCCTCCTCTGGCACTCCAGGGCCCTAGCCCAGCTCGAGGTAAGACTCAGGTCTGGCTTCAAATCCCAAGACATCTCCTTGCTACCTGGATGACCTCAAGTAAGCCACTTGTCCACCTTGGGCTTATTTCCTCATCTATAATATGTACAAAGGACTAAATTAGATGATTCAAAACAGGAGTTGAGCATGGGGCATGTTCCTTGAGAGCCAGCCAGCTTTAGGACTCTCTTTAGGACCTGCTGGCTGCTTCACCATTCTTCAAATGTGCTAGACATGTCCTACCTCAGGACCTTTGCACTCACTGATTCCCTGCCTGGAACACTTTTACTCCAGCACTTAGCCAAATCCCTCACAACCTTTTGGTTTTAACTTAAATGATACTTGCTCAAAGAAACCTATTTCCCTCACTCCTGATGCCCTTTCCTGCCTGATTCTTCTGATGACCTCTTTGCACCATCTATTTGACTTTTTTTTTTTTAAGATTGTATTTATTTTAGAGAAAGAGAGTGAGGAGCACCCGGGTGGCTCCTGGGATCAAGCCCCACGTCTGGCTCCCTGACAGGGAGCCTGCTTCTCCCTCTGCTTGTGTCTCTGCCTGTCTCTCTGTGTCTCTCATAAATTAAAAAAAAAAAAAAAAAGTGAGTGGGGGCAGGGGTAGAGAAAGGAGGAGAGAGAGAACCTCAAGCAGACTCCCCACTGAGTGCAGAGTGGGAAGCAGGGGATCTCATGACCCTGAGATCATGACCTGAGCCAAAATCATGAGTTGGACACTCAACCAACTGAGCCACCCAGGTGTCCCTTGACTTCTTTATGTGTATATTGTCTCCCCAGCTTGAGAGTGAGCCCCTGAGGTCTCGGTAGTTTTTAATGCTGTTGTTCATTGCTGGGTCCATGGTGCCCAAAATAGTGCCTGGCACAGAGTAGGCACTTAACACATTAAAAATAATAAATAAAAATTTGAGAAAGATCTGAAGCCAGTACAATAAAATGTTAGCGTGTGTGGGTGGTGGGTACTACTGTGTGGCTTCTCTGTTGAAGTACTTTCCAGTGTGCTTGAAATATTATAAAAATATAGGGGCACCTGGGTGGCTCAGTGGTTGAATATCTGCCTTTGGCTCAGGGTGTGATCCTGGAGTCCTAGGATCAAGTCCCATATCAGGCTCCCCAGAGGGAGCCTGCTTCTCCCTCTGCCTTTGTCTGTGCCTGTTTCTCATGAATAAAGTCTTTAAATATATAAATATATAAATACACACACACACACACACACACACAACATAGGAGCCCTGATTTTTGGGACACCTGGATGGCTCAGTCAGTTAAGCCTCCGACTCAATTTCAGCTCAGGTCATGATCTGAGGATTGTGAGATGGAGCCCTGTGTTGGGCTCCAAGCTGAGCATGGAGCTTGCTTGGGATTCTCTCTCCTTCCTCTGCTTCTCCCTGCTCACACATTCTCTCCCCCCAAAAATAAACCTATTAAAAACACACACACACACACACACACACACACAAACAATAATAATCCACACTGTTTAGGAGTCCAGTCTGTAGGAAAGGGTGGTAGATGGCATGCAGAGAGGCAGGTGGGTACCAAGGGTGTCCCTGAGCCAGACTGGCATGCATCAGGCATGTCCACTGAAGCAGACGTCCCAATAAATGCCGTATCTGTCCTTTATCTGCTTGAAGCCTTGCAACAGCGCTAGAGGGAGGTACAAGGACAATCCCACTTGACAGTAAATGGAAGCTAAGGACAGAGAAGTGACTTGCCCAAACCCACCTGAGGAGGGAAGGAGGAAAGAAGGGGTGGCATGGGAAAGCCCCAGTGGGAGGCAGAGTAGGGACAGCAAGGGAGTGGGAGGAAAACCTGGCTGAGCCAGGCAGGCCCTGCCTTCCAAGAGCTGGCCCAGATCCCGGGTGAGGCCACGACCCTCCTCTGCTGCCCAAACCACACATGCAGCTTCTTCCTGGCAGCTCCTCCAGGGGCCTCACAGGTCCTAGGATTCCTGGAATGGAGTGTGGGCTGGGGGTGGGGGTGGACAGGGCCTAGGGTGGAAGGAAATGAGGGAGAAAGGTGGGGGGATGGATGGGGAGGCCACTGGGGAGCCTGGGGCTGGGGATGAGGAGGAGAGAGCACCTCATCCTGCACAGTATGCAGTATGAAGCTGGCACTCAGGGCCTTCTCTAGGGCCCAGACTGACGAGGGCCAGTGAGTCTGGGGGCCTCTGTCCACAGAAGGCAGTGTGCTGGCCTTCAG